TCCCCCTTGGCCGCCCCGGTGCTTGTGGTGACCCTGTGGTCCCCTGGAGGTGACCAGTGTGTGGGTGTGGCCTGGGGCTGGGTGGTAGTCTGCCAGGTAGGTCACCCACATGCACGCCTCACCTCCACCCTAAGAGTGTAAACAACCCGCCCACACCACCCCCGCCACCACCTCCCCCATCAGCTGTTGTGGTGCGATATATGCACCTAGCCGCCGCCGGGGTCTCATAACTGCGTATCTTGTAGTACGATGTGTGGGCTCCGCCCCCCTGGTGAGTGGTGGTGGTGTGGAGATAGTCTCTCTCATCACAGGTGGGTGCGGGGCCATGACATCATCCTGCAGGTAATGTCTGCCTCTACCACCCTCCTCCTCCTCCTTCCCTACACCTTCTCCTCTTTCTCTCAACAATTATTAAAACAACCGGCGAGAAACAATGGGCAGAGTTTCTTTCACCCTATGCCCCTGTTACCTAGCAGTAAAATAGGTACCTGGGTGTTAGTCAGCTGTCACGGGCTGCTTCCTGGGGGTGGAGGCCTGGTCGAGGACCGGGCCGCGGGGACACTAAAAAAAAAGCCCCGAAATCATCTCAAGATAACCTCAAGATAGGCGCAGCAGACTATATGAAGGCGAGTACAGTGTGTCAACGAGGCTACACGAGGCTTAAAGTCCCCATCACACAGGATGGTTAGTCATACAGAGATAAAGAACACGATAACTGATATTGTCAAAACGTCTCCGGACAGCACAGCCAATATGTCAGACTTGAGACAGACGTAGGCTGTTAGATGTGAATATTTTTGTTAAGTTTGGTATTAGAGTAAATGCCGTCTGACCTATGACACTCCCATGCCCCACATGCTTCATCTGTGGAAGTTGAGTGAGACTAGCCCCAGGCCTCCAACCTTGGACATTGTCTCTGTAGATACAGATGGTGACGGTGGTGTGGACAAGGGGGACAAGGACGGCCTCTTTCACACTGGAAGTATGACAAGAGACATTCCTGGAAGCTGGAAACACATGTGAGCCCCAAGGAATGTAAGGACTCATGCCACCTGTACGGATGGTCATGCCACCTGTACGGATGGTCATGCCCCCTGTACGGATGGTCATGCCCCCTGTACGGATGGTCATGCCCCCTGTACGGATGGTCATGCCCCCTGTACGGATGGTCAACAAATGGAATACACTTAAAGAAGTTGTACATTCTATCCACCTATCAAGCCACCTCTATCCACAAGCTTAAGGCCAGGTTCGACAAAGAATTTGAACAGTAGAATAGTTTAAATATAACGCTATAATTAGACGGTGCATAAAGAGCTTGACCTTACTACCTCGTAAACACTGATAAGTGAGTATTGATAGCTAAGTGCTTGTCTAGTGGTGGTGGGAAGTGTAACTATGTAGTGTCACTATACCTGTGTGGTGATGGTGACGGTGACGGTGAGTGTAGTGTTCCCCAATAGTGGCCGTGTGGTGCCAGGGTGGAGCCCCCCCCCCCCCCACACACACCTGTAATGCATTAGAAGTAAATATTTACCACGGCAACATTTAAAATATTAAACATGTACCCAACTCCATGATTAATCAACCAGTTACTTTATGGGATAACTGGGATCTATCAGGGGAATAAATGTACCCAAGAAAGATAGTGAACACGGTGTTAACACAACAGCACTGAGCAGCACCACACAGTACTCAGGGTATGGGTAACGATGTATCAGTGCTATACCGACGGCTCTGTAGAAGGTGAACGATGTACCGGATGTGCGTGTAATATGTGTATATACCGTATATGTGCGTGTAATAAAAGGGAGCCGGTCGGCCGAGCGGACAGCACGCTGGACTTGTGATCCTGTGGTCCCGGGTTTGATCCCAGGCGCCGGCGAGAAACAATGGGCAGAGTTTCTTTCACCCTATGCCCCTGTTACCTAGCAGTAAAATAGGTACCTGGGTGTTAGTCAGCTGTCACGGGCTGCTTCCTGGGGGTGGAGGCCTGGTCGAGGACCGGGCCGCGGGGACACTAAAGCCCCGAAATCATCTCAAGATAACCTCAAGAATATATTAAACAATCTTCTCTCGTACATACAGCAATGAAGCGCGTCAATGACTGGGCAAGTACAACCCAAACCCAACTTGCAGCCATATACCTTGCCGCTGAATTGTTTAAAGACAAAGGCAGTGGACTTATATACTGCGACTCGCAGAGTACACTCCTGGCACTGAACGCATATAGTAGAAAAATAGCCAGAAAATAGTCAGTGATATTCATACGTCAGGCTGCGAGCAGCCGCGTCTAACAGCCTGGTTGATCAGTCCAGCAACCAGGAGGCCTGGTCGACGACCGGGCCGCGGGGACACTATAAGCCCCGGAAGCACCTCAAGGTATTCGAATGAATGTTTTTGCTGCTAAAGAAAGCGGATTTGAAATTAAATTCTATTGGATATCATCACATGTTGGCATCTCAAAGCATGACCCTGTTGACATACTTGCAAAAGCAGCTTGTAGTAGACCAGTAGTAGAAATTAATGTGGGTGTTTCATTAGCAGTGACAGAGAGAACACTTAACCAAATATCTGATAAATCTTACTGACCTAACAAATTCAGAGACCTGAAAGCTGTAGTATTAAATATTATGATTAATATCTTGAGTAGACATTCATATATGGAACTAATAGAGCAAGATCCCGGCAATGTGATGTCGTAGCGGCCAGAATACGCCTGGAATATAGACGCATTTGGCAGCCTTCTCAAAACTCAAATGTCGAGCACAACACGTGTCAACTGTGTTAAATTGGAAAGCATGAACTCTCCTGAACATTTTATTGTAGAATATCCCATATTGACTGACTTTCTCCCCCCACCCCCCTACTTGGGCTGGACGGTAGAGCGACGGTCTCGCTTCATGCAGATCGGCGTTCAATCCCCGACCGTCCAAGTGGTTGGGGCACCATTCCTTCCCCCGTCCCATCCCAAATCCTTATCCTGACCCCCTTCCCAGTACTATAGTCGTAATGGCTTGGCGCTTTCCCTTGATAATTCCTTCCTTCTCCCCCCCCCTCCCCTGCGTTGAGATATGCTGAACTTTGAACATTCTAAGTACTGGAACACTTGATATATTGGACACCTGTGCCCACGATTGACTATGTAATGCATCGGTTGTGATGTAACTATAACCTGAGCTTGTGAAAACATCTTAGTCACCTCGGTGGTTAAGTGTTTAATCACTCACAATGTTCGGTAATATGTTTATTGTTTGTGATGTGTGTCTATATATGTATGAACACGTTGTACAGAACGAGGTGAGAATAGCTTGAGCTGCCTCATCCCTTTGTGGGTATTTTACCTCAATAAACTTTTTTCTATTTCAATTCAATTTCAAGTGCTTAATAACACACTAGTTTCTATAGTAACTATCTTGGCTCTCACAAGTCAAGCCTGGCCTCGGGGCCGGGCTGGGGAGTAGAAGAACTCCCAGAACCCCATCAACCAGGTATATCATACCCTGTCAAAGTAGGAGAGACATAAATATATGTATGTATGTATGTATGTATGTATGTATGTATGTATGTATGTATGTATGTATGTATGTATGTATGTAGATGTGTGTGTGCATATATATAATATTTATAATATAATATATATATTATATTGTTCAATAAATCATTGAACTATATGTTTAACACATCTCTCTCCCTGTCCATGGAGGACAGAAGAAAATGTATATACGCTGGTTAGCATTGTAAATGTGTGGCCACGTCTGTGGTAGAAAATAATAATAATACTAATAATAAAAACAGTAAAAACAGCCACCGCGGCAGAGTTTAGCGGACAGGACATGACCTATTTTGATAATTTTTTTGAGACCTTGGTCCCCTTGGTGTTTTTTTTTTTTTTAGCGGATATCCGGTTGGGAGAGAGTGTGTGGCGGTGTAATCTGCGCAGCGTGTGCGCTGTGAGGATGATACTGCGCACATGACCATAGCTAGACCCGCGGGTTAAGCTTCTCGGTCAACATAAATGAAACAGCAGTAAACTTGTGGTTCCCTAACACCTTGCACCTCTTCCCAAGGTCAGGTATTTGGGGCCAGCCTCACCAACCTTTACAGGGTTATCTTCTTGAGGTTATCTTGAGATGATTTCGGGGTTTAGTGTCCTCCGCGGCCCGGTCCTCGACCAGGCCTCCACCCCCAGGAAGCAGCCCGTGACAGCTGACTAACACCCAGGTACCTATTTACTGCTAGGTAACAGGAGCGTCAGGCTATAAGAAACTCTGCCCATTGTTTCTCGCCGGCGCCCGAGATCGAACCCAGGACCACAGGATCACGCGTACAGTGTTCTATCCGCTCAGCCACCGGCTCCCGGTGACTACCGCTGGTGGGGGATGGTCATAAGGGGGGCGTGTACTCCCATCACCCCCCCCCTCCCTAATACCAACTGTCAACGTCCCGGTGGCCCAGTCTCTGACCAGGCCTCCTGGATAGGGCTCTGATCAACCAGGCTGTTGGATGCAGCTGCTCGTAGCTTGATGTATGAATCACAACCGGGTTGATCATGTTTGAGGCATTTGTCAATTTCTCTCTTTAACACCGTGAAAGGTGTGTTATGCCCTTCATGAGTCGTGGGAGTGTTGAAAAGCGTTGGGCCCTTGATGTTAATGGTCTCTTTTAGCATACCTATTGCTAAGAGAGAGTATGCCTATTGTTATTGCTATTGGAAAGGCACCTCTGGCTTTCAGTGGGGCTACCCTGCACATCCTGCCGGGCCTCCTGGTCTCATGTGGTGGTATTTCTGTGTGCAGGTTTGGGACAAATCCCTCTAGTGTTTTCCAAGACAATTAGGTAAATATCTGAAGTAAGCACTAAGCCATTGCGACTATATAGCACTTGGAAGGGATGAATTATGTATAAATATTATGTATCTCCTACCTGAGCTCTAGAGAATACATATTTAACATTTTTAACCGGTCCCAATAATTTAGATGTTTTATTCATCTCCAAAGGATAGCTGACCAGACGACCAACCAGGAGGCCTGGTCAGAGAGCGGGCCGCGGCGACATTGATCCTGGGAACTATTGCAAGGTAACCGCAAGGTCGTGTAGATGTTTCAGTACTGTAAGGTGGGAGTAGGTGAGGCAGAGTGCCACGGGAAGACCCTGCACCATACACTAACAGCAGCTACGACAACTGTTCTCTCTCGCCTGGTAGTTACTATATGTGGCCAGAGGCACTGGTGCACGGAACACTCCCCCCCCCCCCCCCGTACTGGCACGGTCACCCACCTGCACGGAACACATCCTTTGTCCAGGGTGAGCAGCGCCTCCGTTATGCCAAGATGGACGCCGCTCTCTCTCACACACGCACACACACACTTGCTTGCCACTCTCCATAGTGTATAGTAAGTCACTGGAGACGGGAGACCTACCAGAAATATGGAAGACGGCGAATGTGGTCCCAATATACAAAAAGGGTGACAGGCAAGAGGCACTGAACTACAGGCCAGTGTCCTTGACTTGTATACCATGCAAGGTGATGGAGAAGATCGTGAGAAAAAACCTGGTAACACATCTGGAGAGAAGGGACTTCGTGACAAATCGCCAACATGGGTTCAGGGAGAGTAAATCTTGCCTTACAGGCTTGATAGAATTCTACGATCAGGTGACAAAGATTAAGCAAGAAAGAGAGGGCTGGGCGGACTGCATTTTCTTGGATTGTCGGAAAGCTTTTGACACAGTACCGCATAAGAGGCTGGTACATAAGCTGGAGAGACATAATCATCACCTACAAGATTCTCAGAGGAATTGATAGGGTAGATAAAGACAGGCTACTTACCACAAGGGGCACACGCACTAGGGGACACAGGTAGAAATTGAGTGCCCAAATGAGCCATAGAGACGTTAGAAAGAATTTTTTCAGTGTCATTACTAGACAAATGGAATGCATTAGGCAGTAATGTGGTGGAGGCTGACTCCATACACAGCTTGAAGTGTAGATATGATAGAGCCCAGTAGGCTCAGGAACCTGTACACCTGTTGATTGACAGTTGAGAGGCGGGACCAAAGAGCCAAAGCTCAACCCCCGCAAGCACAAATAGGTGAGTACAAGTACACACACAAACCAGGCAGGTCCCGGCTGCAGGGAAGAGGTTGTAATATACTCATGAAGGATACAAGTTGCTGACAACGTCTTCTGCTTACACCCTTATTAAAAGAATTACTTTAACCAACAAAACAGTAGATCAAGATTGTACAGGTGCGCGCCACAGCGACCAAGACTATACCTGGGAGATTGGCATCAACACGACACAAATAGAAAGTTCAAATATTATGGACGACCACACCGTGAATATGGACGACCACACCGTGAATATGGACGACCACACCGTGAATATGGACGACCACACCGTGAATATGGACGACCACACCGTGAATAGATACTGTTCACTGATGATTTATTACTATTCAATAATAAACTCCGGCAGCTACGCCGCCACCACCCATGACACTGCCAGCGGAAGGTGCTCCAACACTTCACTACACACTTCATAAACACTCTTAATACCACACATTCACATCAAATATATATGCACACACATCAATAAAAAAAAGATTGCAATGAGTATATTGCAAAATAATTAATGCATAAATAACAAGAGAAAAAACAAACTGTTTCGTGTATAAATTTTTTTCAAGTGGTGCATCATAGACCAACAAAATAAAGGAATGAGGATGTATTTATTGTTGATGTGAGAAGACAGACTTGTACTTCAAGACTAAGACGTCACCGCTCCACCAGTGACTGTGCTATAAGTGCCACTCAACTCTATATATATATCACATATCATTTATCAAGTTATCTAATTTATATAATCTTGGAATTATTTTATGTTGAAAAATTCACAACTTTTATACATAACGATTCAGTAATTGTTTCATTGTAAAGTTTCGTTCTGATATTGTACCTGAAGAATTTATTGAACTGACCTTGTTCTTGTACTTTATTATGTTGTTATTCTTTGCTTTATCTCTGCCAGTTTGTCCCACAGAATGTTATTACAACTTTTACTAAATATTTGGTAAACAACCATACTTACTGGGAGAATTTTTAATAAGATATTTTATATATCAAGATTACTAATATTTCCGATCGATTTTCCCGGACTACTACAAAAGCTGAGATGAATTTTGATGAGCAAAATCATCAGCTGTGTTGGCATCCTTGCCTGAGACCCGGGACCCGGCCACACGTGCCGACCCGGGACCTGAGAGACCATCCCAGGTCCCGGTCATTACCCGGGAGCCTAGAATGAGTCACCAGTCCATAAGAGCACACGGCAGTAGAGTGTGTAGAGTGTGGGTGTAGAGTGCAGATGAGGTGACTGTTGCCCCGAGGCTTGGTGGAGTGTGCGATAAGGTGTGGAGTGTGGAGATTACCGGAGGCCGCCTCGGCCCTCACCTTGGTTTGGGTTGGACAACAATTATACAGATCAAAATAGCCGTAGTTTTGGAAGATGTCCAGCCGTGGTTGTTCATACGTCAGTTGGAACATTGGTATTGTCTACCTAAAGTATCTGCCACGAAGATGTTGAAAATGAAGGAGCTCCTGAGTACAAAAGGAGCTCCTGAGCACACTGCACAATTGACTTGAGAATGGTCCAGGACGGACCGAAACGTCGTCGTCCCTTCACCTTCTAGTGTGTGGTCTGGTCAACACACTGTACGAGATTGTCTCACTGTCGCATCTGAGTGTCATGGCTTCATTATCTGCTGGCCTCCTCAATTGTTCATGTTTGATCTGAGGTCAACAATTGCTGAAGTTGAGGAATAATGCACTCATCGAGTTAAACTCACCTGGTTGTGCTTGCGGGGGTTGAGCTCTGGCTTCTTGGTCCCGCCTCTCAACTGGTGTACAGATTCCTGAGTCTACTGGGCTCTATCATATCTGTATTTGAAACTGTGTATGGAGTCAGCCTCCACCACATCACTGCCTAATTCATTCCACCTGTTAACTACTCTGACACTGCAAAAAATATTTCTAATGTCTATGTGGGTCATTTGGGTACTAAGTTTCCACCTGTGGGATCAACACGACACCCCTCTAACAAGGGGTACAGGTTCAACTAACACAACACCTGTACCCCCTATTAAGCTATTTTACAGGAACTTCTTTTCGACGGCTCATAAAACGGAGGAAAGGGTCCTGAAAGATATTGTTAATAGGAACGTTATCCCTACAGACAAAAATCAGAAAATACAATTGACAATTTACTATAAAACCAAAAAACTGCCAACCTACTCATGAAAAACTCTCCAGACACAAAGCAGAACGCTTTGAAGGAAACCAACGTCGTCTATGCCTTCAAATGCCCACTTGGGGACTGTAAGCCCCAAGGAACTCAGTATATAGGCAAGACAACAACGTCTCTTTCCAGGCGGTTAACAATGCATAAGCAACAGGGCTCCATCAAGGAACATATAGTCTCTTCCCACAACCAGACCATCATCAGAGAAATCTTAACAAGCAACACAGAAATCATCGATAGGTACAGTGATAGCAGGCGACTCTACATCAGCGAGGCACTACACATCAAAAAGTCAACACCAGCAATCAACCGCCAATTAATGCATAACTACATCCTACCCACTTCAAGACCTCGTATGGGCCAATAGGCTCCCTGCAGTTACTTTCATTCTTACGTACCCACCTCGCCCAAAACTTTTGTGTCACCTCACCCAACACGAATATAAAAAGCAAGATGTAGGTTAAATATACACAGAAGCTCACAGCACATTCAGCCCCGCTCCTGTGCCAGGTAAGTCCACTACAGGCTCACCATAGCCCGTGCTACTTGGAACTTGTTCCGAGTAGCTGAATCTATAACAACAACAACGTTAAATATATCATACACAGTGTATCAAAAGTGTAGTATTAAGTGAAAACAAGTCCTTGAGAATGTAAGAAGCCCTTACGAAACGCTTCTAGGCGTCAGATCAAAAATAAAAATGAATTTTGGAGAGTTGATATTTCAATTACCCTCAACAGTGAAGAAAAACATAGGAAATATTGAGAAAATTCGTGTTAGAGTGATTAATCTTACCTTTTCGGTCATATTCAACAACATATGTTTACAAGAAAGACTGCAATATAGACAATTATATATATAATTCAGGTTTGTTCCAGACTTCAGAAATGATTGATTTGTTTTATATGTTCATCTTGAGGTGTGGGTGAGATGTGTGTGATGAAGATGACGGGTGGAGGTGTTGTCTGGGACCCGTGGGGGAGTGTCCCCAACAAGCAGCTCTCATCACCTCAGTTGTTTACTCCCCTACCACCTTCCCTCGTCATTTACAGTACTCAAACCACTTGTGGAAGGAAATAAAGTAACAATTAATAGAGCGCCTCATAGAATCTTCATCATGTGTATTGAAGGCATTTTACCGGAGAACTCCTAAGGTTGTGACGTATGACATTTGTACTGACAAACTTCATCATGTGGCCCCCATCCTCCAATCAATATATTAGTAATTCCCTGTATGCAACCCATAAGCATTGATATGTTGAACTAGTTTTATGGTGCCAGGTTTTGTCGCTAAGTGAATCAAAACTGCCAGCGAGCGAGTGCGTGACAACTTTGCTATATGTACTAAAACTAGGACACCAGGCGGTATTCGTGCGAAGAAGGGTGTGGGGGGGGGGCACATCCTCTCTCTACACACATCTCTGTAACATCACTGCTATAGTGGAATGTGTGGTGTGGGAACCGACCTGTGAGATTTATATTTATTTAATTTATATGAATTTATATTTACGTTAATTTATATACTTCGATAGCAATTTGTATAATGTTAAGTGGACTGTATTTCTGCAATAATCTCATAATCTCACAAATCGATCCTCTACACATTAGGGGGGGTTATTAAATTAATATATATGCAGCCAATCAAACTACAGTAACTACATACATTGAAGAGGTTCCTTATCTTATAGTACAGCAGGTTAGTCCACCAGGTATAACTAGGGTGTAGACACCAAATTATCCTCTTTGAGGTAGCTTCCATATCACCCAGTAACTGGTGCAC